CCTGTCGCATGTCCACGTTGAAACTGAACAACGGAATTATACATGCACTTGTTGGTAGGACCTCCGCCTCACATTGGGCCTTAGCACAGAAAGTTAGTGTTTAAAATGACTTTACCTACAGCGCGTTTGGCATTAAAGTGTGGATAGTTGTCGGTGGAAAGCAGTTAATCCACGTTAGGCATTCACATAGTTAAAAACAGTCATTCGAATTTACTGAATTAGTACAGGTAAGATTTTCATAAAAAGTACTTACCTCTGCGGTATTATCTGCTCCGATTTCATCAGAATCCCATCTAGTATAGACAAAATGCAAGCAATTGTCCTTTCAAAGCGAAAACGTATTGTGTGCCTGATTGCATGCCTTTAAACCAATCCTGAGAACGGCTTCGAAAATGTCACAATTGAATCAGTATACAGTGTTGCATGGATGAAATCTAGTAAAATGGCAACATCAGTTGCAGATGGGATATGAAAATGTTCTTTTGGAAAACAAAGTAATACAGGAGTCCATCACACAATGTAATGTCAATAAACCGCGAAAACCTCTTCCTAGTCAAGCGGATTATTTATACAAAGCTGGAAACGAATGCGCAAATAGTTGAACTCTACAGGAGAAACCTTTATTTTCGCTTGCTGCCCTGTGATTGCACCACCTTATGACACGCACCCAGTGTCTTCATACTTTCGTTCGCCGTTGTGCGTACTTTTCACAAAAGGTTCTTTCTAAGCTTCGTGCTTTAAAATTACATTCATGTAAACATACTGAATTGGGGTCAAGTGCATTTTTAGAATCAAAACTAGCCGTCAGAGTAGGATAGCAGCTGTTGGAGCTTTGTGGTAAGCAAACATGCGGAGGGGGCTGGTGTGGTGAGCTGCGAACCAATCCAATCCGTGTTCTCCGAAGACTTACCTAGCACAAACACAACCAAGCGTCTTCTTAGCGGCCGGCAAATAATGCTTCAAGCGTAGAGATTACTGATAGGCATAAACTACATTAGCAACTGGCCAAGGATGAGATTTTACGAGTAAAAAAATATATAGAGAGCCGGTCATGCAACACTCTTCGGGAATTGAATTTAATTTTAGAAAAAAGGCATGGTTAGTGTTATATCCCCCAGTTGTATGTCAGGAAGAGAAGACAAGCAGGATAGCAGAGAATGGTTTACCGTAACAGTCTCTGTTTGTCTATCAGATTCTGCGCGTGTGCCTCAATTTGCCCCGTGTCCGTCAGCAAGTCGTTCTGTCTGCAGCTTGTCTTCTGTGTGTCAGAC